TACTGATAATTTCCCCAGAGTTGTACAATGTTACTATGGTAACATTATATTACTCTAGTCACAGTGTTTTATAAAAAAAAATCCTAAAAAAAAAGAAATGCAATTAAAAAAAAAACTTGAAAATAATTTTTTTTGTTTTCTTCACATGGTCACCAGTCAGTGTCCCTGATCACGGCCATACCAGTTATATGATGACGCTGCACTGCACTGGTGAAAGTATGTAAAAAAATGCTGTTTATTTTCTTTTTAATTCCTTCAGTTTCCAAAAAATTGTGACAAAAAATTACAACGTCAAAAAACGCGCCATGTCTCTTACTAAATACCCCGGACTGTCTAGTTTCCAAAAAGGGGTAATGTGGGGAATATCTTTACTGTCCTGATATTTTTGGACCTTAAGAAATGAGTCAGTACATCATGACTGATCGATTTTCAGATATATACCATAGTTTGTGGACTTTCCTGCAAACTAAATAATATACACTGATTTAGGTCATTTTCACCAAAGAAATGTAGTAGTATACATTTTATATAGTATTTATTATTATTATACATTATTACACATAGTATACATTTCGGCCTAAATTTATGAAGAACAATTATTTATTTGGAAAATTGTATAACAGAAACAAAGAAAAACTTGTATATCAATTTGTTTACGTGAAAGTTATAGCATCTACAAACTATGGTATATATAATTAAATTTACGTAGCTTTTATTTTTTTTTTCAATACTTTTATTAAAGAAGTTTTTGTTTTTATAATACAACAAGCTCATGATACGCTCACGCAGGGGCAGAACGGAACAATAGCATACATAAGCAGATACAAATCAGCAGGGTGTATTAGCCACATAACTGAATGTCCAATGACATCAAGGAGGGATAGCAAAAAGCTGAAGCAAACAGTAGCAGCAGCAATCCATCATATTACCGAAAAAAAAAAAGAGGAAAAACCCTTACCAAGAAGTATCAGCTCAGAACATACGGGAAAGAAACCCAAACTGATAAAAAAAAGAAAGTATAAGAACATATAAAAGAAATAAGGAAGGGAGAAAGATTCAGGGAGAGAACATAGAAGAAAGGAAGACTAGAAGATTCACGGATCCAGGGCTAGCACAGGCAACGACTATACAGTAAGAGGCCATAGCTAGTAGGAGGCAGGTATCCAAGGTTCCCAAACCTTAAGGAATCTCGGAGGAGAATCTTGAAGAATGCTAGACATCTGTTCATTGATCAGCATAGCATTCATGGGGGTCCTTACCCCCTGGAAGACAACTGAAGGGGTTCTCCAAGCTTGAGCTATAGCACGTTTGGCCAAAATGAATAGGTAGGATGCCAATTTCTGCTGAGACCTAGACAGACCCAAAATTGGGCAATGCAGGAGGGCCACTCCTGTATCCTTACGGACCGTAATATGAAATAACATTTGCAGAAAACCAAAAACCCTGGACCAGAAGTCTATCAATCGCAGGTACGACCACCAGATGTGCAAGACGTCCTCATGGAGACCACAGTATCTCCGCCAGTCGGATTAAAATGAGCAGTCCGAGCCGGGACCCAGTACCACTGCAGGAAAACTTTGTAGGCTGAATCAAGAGTAACGGTATTGAAGGAACATTTCACCACCATCGCCCAGGCCTTATTCCAATCCTCCACCACAATCGAGAAACCTAGATCTTGCTCCCATTGAGAGACATAATACGGAGGTGGTGAGGAGAACCTACTGTTGAGAGAGGCATAAATTACAGAAATGAGACCGGGGACCCTGGGGAATGTTAACAGACATGTTTAAAGGGCGTTTTGTGGTAAGGATATGTAGAGGTATGACAGAGGGACAGAACCCAGTGGCGCAATTGCAAATAACGATAATATTCCCGCGGTGGGACCCACCGTGATTTTTGAAGAGACTCCTATAATAGAAACGAACGAGCATTCAGAAAATCATGTACAAGAACAAAGCCAGGGGAGGTTCACCAAGAGAAAGAACGGGGATGTTCTAAGTCTGCTGGAAATAAAGGATTATGCATAATCTGCAAAAGAGGTAGAAAAGATAATATCAAATTACCCAAATATTTTACAGAATCCCAGGTTCGTAAACTGTGAAACATGATAGGGCTCAGGTCCGGAGGGCACAACTTAAGCGGGAGCCAAAGCAATGTAGTTAAGGGAAGCGGAGCACAGTTGGGTAATTCCAAGAGAACCCATAACGGGATATCCGTCATGGCATGAAGCATGGTAGTCTAAGAAATGGGAAGCTACGAGCATTTCATCACTTCAGTTTTGCAGGATATAAACAATGCCATTTGTAAATTGGGAAAGCACCTGATCAAACCGATCTTGGTGAGATCAGATGATGTAAGGGCAGAGGAGATATATAGAGTCTAAAAAAAAAACAATACCTGTCAATGTCTATAGCAATCAGAGGGGATGTTTACATTCCCTGTGATAGCAATAAAAGTGATTAAAAAAATTGGGACAATGTAAAAATAATTAAAAAGATCAAAATAACACAAAAAAAGCTCCCTTGCCCCCCTGTGTGCATGCACCTGCCTACGCAAGCGTTGACCCTGTGATGGTATGTAAACAGTGGTTGCACCATGCATGTGAGGTATTTTGTGAATTGAATTTCTAAAAAGTGTATTTTTCCCAAAAAGATTTGTGTTTGAAAAATCGCTGTACAAATAATGTGCGACTTAAAAAATTTCAGCACCCACCGTTTTATGCTATAGGGCCTCTGCTTAAAAAAAAAGTATAATGTTTGGGGGTTCAAAGTAATTTTATAGCAAAAAAAAAAACCCAGTTTTTTCATATGAACAAAAAGTGTCAGAAAAGGCTTGATTTTCAAGAGTGGGTGATGTGTGGCATAACAAAAAAGAAAAAGTGCCAAAAAACAGGGTGTATCCACCCATTGATATGCATTTCCCCGACTCACCACTAATAGAGTGTGCATTCTTAAACCAATTGACATATAAATAGATATTAGCAGCTGACAAGGGCAGACCTGCCACAAAAGCGGTATATAACGAATCCCATGCAGAGTAATAATTCACTATTATAGTGGATGCAATTATTTTTATTAAGATCACATGGATCATGAAAAGGTAGACATTTATAACATGGTGAACACATTGTCAATCATCAAAGTAAAATCAGAAAAAAAATAAAAACAAAAACACGTTCTGCGTTTCCACTTAGCTGCATATATGGCAAAAAGATTTAAAATTGGCAAAGACTGCTTCTGTATTCATTACGGAAAGTTCATGTATGGAATCCAGATATATGTATATCTTCAGTATTCTTCATCTGTATCTTCCATCTTTAGAGGTATCAAAGTAATTCCTTCCAATTCATCAAAGTGTAGTGATGGAAGCAAAAGTAACAGAAATCCTGAAGAATAAATGTGCAATGAATACAAAGATCCTTGAATAATTGCTAAATGGCTGTCATGAACTTGCAGTATCAAGATAAATCCTATTTGTAAATTGTATGGCCACTGATGGAGAAATGTAACATGATAAAATAATGTATTACCTTCCAATTCATCAAAGTGTAGTGATGGAAGCATAAGTAACAGAAATATATACTTTGATACCTCTAAAGATAGAATATACAGATGAAGAATACTGAAGATATACATATATCTGGATTCCATACATGGACTTTCCATAATCAATACAGAAGCAGTCTTTGCTAATTATAAATCTGGCTCTTTTTGCCATATATGCAGCTAAGTGGAAACGCAGAACGTTTTTTTGTTTTTATATTTCTGATTTTACTTTCATGATTGACAATGTGTTCACCATGTTATAAATGTCTACCTTTTCATGATCCATGTGATCTTAATAAAAATAATTGCATCCACTATAATAAATGAGTGGCATAAGCTTCTAATGATGGCCCTGAATGCCAGGATAGTAGAAGCAACCCCTCCAAATGACCCCTTTTTGGAAAGTAGACATGCCAAGGTATTTGCTAAGAGGCATGGTGAGTATTTTGTAGATCTTAATTGTTGCCACCGGTTTTTTGAAAAGGAAGAACGAAAACAAAAATGTATTTTTTCTTTTCTTTTTCAAAACCCTGTGACAAAAATGATATCTGGAAATTACTCACTATGACTCTTATCAAATTCCTTGGGGTATCTACTTTCCAAAGAGGGGTCATTTTGGGGGGTGTTTGTACTATCCTGGCATTTTAGAGCCTCTGAAACTGTGATAGGTAGTGGGGAAGTGATATGTGGAGATATGCCCTTTGAAAGCCTGGAGCTGGTCATTGGATTTTGCGGGCCTGTATGTAGCCAAGCTACCAAAAAGTCTCTCACATGTGGTATCCCCATACTCAGGAGAGGTAGAAGAATGTGTTTTGGGGTGTAATTTCACACATACCCATGGCATGCATGAGCAGTATATCATTTAAGTGAAAACTTTGTGTAAATAAAAAAAAATCCTTGGGGTGTCTACTTTCCAAAAAAGTGTCATTTGGGGGGGGGGGGGGAGGGAATTGTTCTGCCCTGGCATTTTAGTACCTCAAAAAATGTGATAGGCAGTCAGAAAGTAAAAGCTGTGTAAATTCCAATATATATATTTGTAGACACTATAACTTTCACACAAACCAATTATCCACTTGCCTACCGGGAACTTATACTGTACTACCTTCCTGCCCAGGCCAATTTTCAGCTGTCAGCGCTGTTGCACTTTGAATGACAACTGTGCGGTCATGCAACACTGTACCCATATGAAATTTTGATAATTTTTTTCAGAGCTTTATTTTGGTGGCATTTATTCGCCACTGGGTGTTTTATAGTTTGCTCTATAAAACAAAAAAAGAGCAAAAAATTTGAAAAAAAAAACCCTTTTTCTTTGTTTCTGTTATAAAATTTTGCAAACAGGTAATTTTTCTCCTTTGCTGATGTGTGTTGATGAGTCAGCACTGATGAGGTGGCATGGATAGGCAGCACTGATGGGCACTGATAGTCGGCACTGATGAACTGGCACTGATGAGGCGGCACTGATGATGTTGCACTAATATGCAACAATGATGGGCACTGATAGGCGCCACTGATGATCACTAATAGGCGGCAATGATGGGTGGCACTGACTGCTGGCACTGACTGCCGACACTGCTGAGCAGCACTGATGGGTGGCACTGATGGGGGTCACTGTTGGGCACTGGTGGGTAGCACTGCTGAGCACAGGTGGGTGGCACTGCTGGGCACAGGTGGACGGCACTGCTGGGCACCGAACATCAGTGCATTGATCATCAGTGCCCTGATGATAGGTGCCAATCCATCCTCTGGCAATTGTCGGTTATCGGCCGTACATTCCTCACACTGACAGCGTGAGGAAATTGGGGGCTTGTATGTAGCTAGGCTGCCAAAAAGTCTCTCACATGTGGTATCCCCATACTCAGGAGAAGTAAAAGAATGAGTTTTGGAGTGTTATTTCACATATACCAGTGGCATGCATGAGCAGAATATCATTAAAGTGACACCTTTGTGTTAAGAACAAAATTGTCATTTTCAAACATTTAGGCAAAAAATAAAATGTTCCATGGACTCAACATGCCTCTCTGCAAAATCCTGAGGGTTTATACTTTCCAAAAAGGGGTCATTTTGAGGGGGGGGGGAGGGGTTGTAGTACCCTGGCATTTTAGCACCTCAAGAAATGTGATGGCAGTCAGAAAGTAAAAGCTACGTAAATTCCAATATATATACACTATAGTTTATAGATGCTATAACTTTTACACAAACCAATTAATATACATGTATTGAGATTTTTTTTACCAAAGACATGTAGCAGAATACATTTTGACCTAAATTTATAACTAACTTTGAGTTTATTGGATATTTTTTATAACCAAGAGTGAAAAAAATTTTTTTTTCAAAATTCTCGGTCTTTTTTGTTTATAGCGCAATAAGTAAAAACCGCAGAGGTGATTAAATACCACCAAAAGAAAGCTTTATTTGTGTGAAAAAAGGACATAAATTTTGTTTGGGTACAGCACTGCACAACTGCGCAATTACCAGTTGAAATAGAGCAGTGCCAAACAGCAAAAAATGGCCAGGTTATGAAGGGGGGGGGGGGGATCTTCTGGAGGGCAAGTTGTTAAAGGGTGTTTATAGGGTAAGTAAAGGAAACTAGCTTTTGTAGCAGATCAGCAGATCAGATTTTTTCTATTAGCCCCTAATTCCTCATCTGCCTTTCAAAACTTCAGATTGGTTTGATCAGATGTTTCCTTGGCTGGTAAAACACAGCAGACCTCTTCCCTCTCCTCTGTGAACAGCCTACCTCATCACTTTCAGTAATCCTGGGAAGGGCCCGGGAATGGTGGTGGGCGGCAGTGGGCTGCAGTGGGACGGGGGCCCCACTTCTGAGCCCCATAAAAGTGATTGTGTAGCTGTGAAATCACTCACATCCCTTTTACCTGAAAAGCCAATTGCAAGCTTAAAAACTGATATATCAGGATCATGGTTGCATCTTCATCCTGCTTCCAGTCAAGGATGTATACATACTAGAGATTGGCTTCATGTTCAAGTCGAACGTAAGTTTGACTCAAACATGGGCCATTCCTGTGTTCTCTGAACACACTATCGGTAAGGGCATTTGGTGGGCTATTTGTCCGCCATGCCCCAAGATGCACTGCACCCTGACAGTGCATTGTGATTGGTCAAAGCAATGCACCTGTGATGATGTCACAAGGGGGGCAAGGTTAACCCTGCTGCTTGTGACATCATCACAGTATTTAAGAACTGTCATCCCCGTGCAGCTGTCAGACGGCTGGAGCCAGCGTCGACAGTGAAGCATTTTTTTTTCTTTTTTCAGGTTGGTGATGGCGGAGGTCATCGTTATTGATGTTGGATCTATTTCAGGGAACATTTTTTATTTTTGTTTTTAATAAAGGACTTGTCAAAGACTGTCTCCTGTCATTTTTTACTACACTTTTTTTTTATGAATACTCATTCACATGGGGGGGCAGGATCTGGGGGCCCTCTTGTCAAAGAGGACTTCCAGATTCTGATAAGTCCTTGCCTGCAGACCCTCAAAACCACCATCCAGGGTTGTGGGAAATAGGCCCTTGCCCTTGAGGGCATGTAGCCTGGTGTGGCTCGGGGAGGGGGGTGCTCGTTCGTCCCTCCCTTTCCTGACCTGTCTGGCTGAATGCTCGGCTAAGGGTCTGGTATGGATTTTGGGGGGACCCCCACACCATTTAATAAAGAGAGTTTTCACCATTTTTGAGGGGTTCTCCTCAAAATCCATACCAGACCCGAAGGGATTGGTATTGATGGGAGGGGGGATCCCGTGTCTTTTTTTTTTTTCCATTTTTTTGTCAGGCAATGCCAACAATTCTTTTGACATTCAGCTGTCAGCGGGAAACCCAGCTGACAGCTGAAACATTAAAGAATGTTTCACTATCAAAATAAAGCATGACTTAATAATATAACTCACGCGGTATTTTAGTAGCTGTACGGTATCTTACCGCATACTCAGATGAGGTAAGATCCTGCCCAGTAAAAGGTTTGCGGTCAAACTTTCAGTATGTTTGAATGTTTGACCGTGAACCAAACGGGGGTGTTCGGCCCATCACTAATATATTCATACACTGAATGCAAAGTGATTCAAATTAAAGTCCATACCAAACTCAAAGAGTCTGGTATGCATTTTTTGGGGGGAGGGGAAACTCTACACAATTTTTTTTTCATTCTTGCTATAGGATGTGCTACAGAAATAGTAAAATTTACAAAGAAAAATAGGATACAGTTTAAATTGATGGCACATGACATGACTTCTTTTAAAAAAGGCACACAGACCCCATCAAAGGTCCCCCAAAATACATAGCAGACCATAGGGTTCTTTTTTTCTTTTAAAAAAAAGAAGCCAGAAGGGAAATGTAATTTGCAAGTCAATATAAAACCTTTTTTCGTAAATGTCACTGCTCCTGGCCAGATGAGTTTTTTAAAAAAGTTGTTTTTTCACTGTGTAGCCAGGTGCTGACTATATCATAATGTCATTTTGGGACATTTACAGATGAGACTATGGTTACCCCTAGTGCCCAGTACTATGACTGCTATATCACTTCCTGTTAGCAGAGTGGATTCAGTTTTTCTGACAGCAGAGTATCTTGGGACCTGTAGTCCCATAGCCAATACATCCTGTATTCCTGAGTGCTGGCTCACCCTCTTGGCACGGGATTCAGAGCTGAATACAGGGGGACTCCAGAGACAGATTGCTGGCCTACTGCTTTAGGTCTCTGCACATCAGTTTAGCACAGGGGTGACAATGATTGCCACACCGGGATTGCACCAGCATCTCTGCATTGGAACTGTCCATGTCTGGTCTTCACACAGACATCTCTGCTTGCCACGCTGACAGGCTGTCAAGCGGTACCTCTGCACATCCCTGCAACCAGCCAAGAGCCTGAGCAAGAACTCTGTTGCTAGGAGGCTGTGCTGTCCATGGGATTGGTGAGTGGGTGATTGACCAACCTCTTTCTGTTATCACTCTAGAGACACTGCATGCAGACCTTTGCACATCAGTGCCAGGATATCTCTGCTTAGAGCAGTTTCACAGTCTAAGTGTTTACATTTATTGAGTTACTAGTATTCACTAATGTTTATGGGCCCCACCATTGCTATCAGAAGACAATGAATATGACTATAAACTTTAAACGTCACAGGACTCAAGTTGCAATTACTAGGTAAAGGAACCTCTTCTCTTTTAAAGCCCATGCTATTCAAATTTAGGTACTTATGTCTATTCATGGTGGAGTATATGTTTACATAATTCTCTGCATTCCCCATTGCGGCACTGATGGTCTGGAGGGAGCTGATAAGTCAACAAGTCTTTTCTTCCCCCTCTTGCCGCTGGTGTTGCAATTAAATGATTGAAGCATACTACTCATGACTGTATAAGCTGTTTAACTTTGCTAATTGATTATTTCTATTTTACCTGTGTGTTCATGTGTTAACTGGAGTTTTATATCCTAAAGCCATTATTTGTGTGGCCTACTCTGTTGAACAAGTTTAATATAGAGATTAAACTAAAGAATTGTGTCTTTTGCATTATTATTCTATACTGTTAAAATATGTCTGAACCCAGAGTGTCAGAGGTTTTGGGGCAGCCACTGGGACAAGCATTATCATGCGGCCCTTGTGGGGGTAGCACTACCACTGGTACATGTTCCCAAGGGCAGTGCCCACCCCCAAGCTACATTTTTGAGGGCCCTTTGCCTAGGAGCCCAGAACTGGGCTTTTTGAATTTTATAGATTCAAATTCTATTGACATTATTAGAGTCTAGGTATGGCATCCCTGCTTGAACTCAATCCATGGAATTTCACCTCATCTCTAATTCCCAATGTAATCCTCCAATATTAATATTCTATGATCCAATTTTACACTGTATTATACTTGGACATTTGTTCCTACTATATGTAACTGACTTGTTTTACCACTGTGTAAAATAAAATCTTGATAAAAGAAAAGAAAGGAGAAAGTGTGGACAAAGTGTAAAAGGGCAAATGGGGCAAATCTGTATGAACTAGTAATCTTGAAAATTGATGAGCAAAAAATCCTTGCTATTGTGCAGGTTGATATAATTGAACTGTCACTAGAAAAGCAGTATAGTTATTTTGTAACTATGTTCCCAAAATGATTAATCATGGGATTCTGCCACCAAATATAGAGTAATGTTTCATTCTTCTAATGGCATTTCTAGCAAGTATTTTGAAGATTTATTTATTGATGACATAAGCAAACATACATTAATCTATTTATTGATAACATAAACATACAAACATTAATTAGAAAAAGCAGTTTGTCAAAAATGTATTGGCTATAGCTCCAATAGATTAGCAGGGAAACTAAATATTTATCTGCATTCATGATGCAAATGAACAGTAAAAACTTTTTTTAAAAGCTTCTCAGTCTGCTTGGATAATCAGGCTCCATGTAAAAAAAAATCGTAAGTGTACAATTTTTTTTACCTGCATTTTTTTATTTAAAACTGGGGATCTATTTATAAATGTTTTCACACACAATTTGCAAAGCTTTCACCCAGGATTCATCTAATTGTCAATCCATTTTAATTGGAAATAATGTGAATTCTGAGTTATAGTTGTGTGAAAACATATGTAGACTCTTAAGAATTGTACTGTCCATTATAGGAATAGTGCCAAGAAAAGCCTACAGCATATAATTAGATAGTCAATGTGAAGTGAAATAAATTGATGTGAACCCAGGCCTGGTCTACTTAAAGTGTTACTAAACCCACAGCAGTAAAATCAGTCTGTATATGCAGTAAAGCATGTTTGATAAACTCACTGTGGAACTTAAGGGGTTAATCCTCTGCATTCTGTAAACATGCTGCTTGATCCTGTCTTCTCTGATCCTCCCCTTCCTCCAGTGTCCCCCTCATCTCTGATAAGATGTGGAGACACTCTGCACATGCTTAGTTTGGTTTGAGTTGCTAGAGAGGTTTTTTTTTTCTTTTGAGACTGCAACTTCTTAGTTCTCTGAGCTCCCGTTTGTTACTGCTCCTGTATGCTGTGTCTGACTACCTGTGTACCAATCCTGGCTTCGTCCACCAACTGTGCTTGTTTTCCACACATCCTGACCTTGGCTTGTCTACCAGATTTCCCATTGTCTCCTGCTATAATACTCTGCTCATATGAGCAGTCTCTGCATCCTCAGCTGGGCGTACCCAGGGGCCGTGACGTGGTTCCAGCTTGCTGCAAGTCCATCCCCACCATCAGGGGTCCTGGTGAAGAAGCAGGCTAGAGCTTAGACTCTGTCCCCTGGTGAACCCTGAGTTTGCGATCTACATTGGCTCATTAACACAGACACTTGACACCCAACACTTCAAAATGTCTGTATTTGTAACAAATCCATATCTATCAAACCAAGTGCATCGCACACCACTTGTATCTTGTTCTAGTTCTCACTTATTCTTGTGCTTCTCCAGATCAAAAATGCAGACCAATCCAAGATGAAGTGTGATTCACCACAAGAATGCACACTCACCAAAAATATTGACCCCTTAAAACTATAAGGTCAGTAGCTGTTATGAATCAATCTGAATAATAACAGCTTTGTTTGTCTTCCTAGTGAACTGTGATTGTCCAACAGCTCTCACATGGTACATGTGCCAATCACAGCAACCTGTACAATGTGATCAGCTGTAGCCAATCCGAGATTGCTAGTATTTTCAACTGTCATGAACTTAACCCATTGATGACAGTTCAAAGCAATGGACGGGCAAGCTGCGGCTCTGGGCAAATCGACGGCTCTTGGCAAAGCGGGGTACCCTTACATTGCTTTCTATTTCTGGGTGTGAGCATGCATGCGTGCTCCCCCTGATACCCCCCCATTGGTCCAGTGGGAGAAGATAGAACACCACACTGTATGTAAAAGCCCTACATTTTACACACGTTAGAATAGCACATTTAACACTTTGATCACCCTATTAACAATTTGGTTGCCATGTCACCCAGCCATTGCCATTAGTACAACTTCAGTATATAGAATTTTTCAATGATCAATGTATCATTGCCATTAGCAACATCAGACTGCGTCAGGGTCAATTAGCACACCTCCCAGCCAGGGTCAGCTAACATTAGATTGCCCTCACACTATCGCACTCACGCTATAGGAATCTGATTACCGCCATTATTAGTATAGTGTTTGTACAAATCAATATATTGATCAGAAACAGAACTATACTGTCACGTACCTGGATAGTGAGCCTGACGTGAAGATGCAGGCCTCCCGTACAACTGCAGCTCAAGGACCGCTGATGGTGGAACAGCAGCTGCAGGGGCACGGTGGGGTATGAGTGCCTGTAATCAGTCCCATATTAGTTGGTAGGCAGTTGAGCTGCAGGGCAAGCTGAAGTCAGGGAGCAGGATCCGGATGCAGCCGTGCTGAATGGATGGATCACTGAGGGGTGCGTTTGAGGATACAGGGTCAGACGAGCCGGGTTCAGTAGCGGTCGGGCAAATCAGGCATAAACGGCAGGAGGAAGAGTAGTCGGGTCATAGGCCAGGTCAGCAGCAGAAGATCAATCAGACAGGAGTGGAGACAGAAGGGTAAACCAAGGCAAGCCAGAGGTCAGGGCAGGTAGCGGTCAAGCGGAGGTCAGGAACAAGCTGGTTCGGTATCAGGAGTCAATCACAGGAATCAGGGAACACAAGCAGGGATAAGACCAAACGGCAATGAGACATTTACTGCAGCCATTATTATAGTAAATATGCCAAATAAATAATCAATCAATGATAAATTTAAAATCCCCCTACCCTAAATCACAAACATAATAAATTCCAATTAAAGTCCAAAAAAGAAAAAAATAATTAAAGTCCAAAAAAATATAATATTAATATATATCACACAAATATATCAAATGTCCCTCTTGTGTAATAAATTAGTGCATCCAAAATTAAGTCCAAGTGTATAGAGCCTCCCAATGGCTTGCACAGGCTGGATTACCTCAAAAACAAAAAATACAATACATAGTGCATTATCCTTTAGTACATCATAATAACATGTGAGGTCACTCTGGTGATAATCACACAAGTGAAAAAAAAAATCTAAATAATAATATAGTGAAAAACGTGTATATGAATCACTCTTCAGTGCCACAAATCACACAACACGGTGTGCACTTCTAATTAAAGTAAGGAGTGGGTACCCTTACCAATATCACAAATAAATCTCGCCTTAATGTTAATCCAAGAGCTACACGATGGAATAAGCCCTCCTTATCCACAAGGATTACCATGACTTCATAACACCACCTAGGTCCATCCACACTAGCACTTCAGATGTCTTCCCACAGTGTACTCCATCCAGATACCCATATATAAGGAACAAAAATAGTGTAATACTGCCACACACTAAAATCTTTAAAGCTTTAATAGTACTGCTTACATTGACAATATCTTTAAAACCGCATATAGTATATATTAAGAAACCTTTCAGCCATCCAGGAGAGTCCTAGTTCCTTGTATCTGCTCTCTTCCACTCTCCAAAATGGTTGCTTTATGATTACGTCCAATGACAAAACGCGTCAAAGGGAAGTGACGTCAGACATATACGAGGAACCGGAAGTGGAGAGCAGCGACTATTTTGCAAAAAAATGTATGTGGCTAGACTACCAAAAAATATCCTCATATGCAGGAGAAGTAGCAGAATTTGTTTTGGGGTGTTATTCCACATTTTCCCATGGCATGTGTGAGTAATATGTCATTTAAGTGACAATTTTGTGTTAAAAATAAAAGTTGTCATTTTCAAAATTTGTGGCAAAAATAATATCTTCCATTGATTCAACATGCCTCTCAGCAAATTCCTTGGGCTGGCTACCTTCCAAAAAGGAGTCTTGGGGGGGGGGGGGGTTGTACTTCCTTGACATTTTAGTACCTCAAGAAATGTGATATATATCCAGAAAGTAAAAACTGCGTAAATTGTATATACCACAGTTTGTAGACACTGTAACTTTCACACAAACCAATTAGTATACACGTATTGGGATTTTTGTTTTACCAAAGACATGTAGCAGAATACATGCTGGCCTAGATATTGAGTTTTTTGGATATTTTTATAACAGAAAAGTAGAAAATATCTTTTTCTCAAAATTGTTGGTCTTTTTTCGTTTATATGTTGCAAAAAATAAAAACCCAGGGGTGATCAAATACCACCTAAAGAAAGCTCTATTTGTATGAAAATAAAAAGACATGAATTTTGTTTGGGTATAGTGCTGCATGGCCAAGCAATTACCAGTTGAAACAGCGCAGTGCCGAATAGCAAAAACAATGGCCTGCTCAGGAAGGGGGGAAAACCTTTTGGGGCTGAAGTGGTTAATGCAGCCACAACATCTAAGGACTGATAAGATGCAATAGATTAATTTTTGTTTTTGGGTTTAGATACACTTTAATTTCAACTTTACCACTATAATTGCATCTGAAAGTTACTTGTTTTATTAGAAATTGCACTTAAGATGCTACAGCAGTCTGAAGGTAGCATTGTACATCTGCAGAATGAAGGCTTTTACTTTCTTAATGAAGCCTCCAGTCTGCATATGATCACTATGTCATAACTGAAATAATGATCCCATTAACCAGTTGCTGACCGCAGATAGCCGAATGACGGCTACACTGCGGCCGGCCAGTTCTGGGAGGGTGTCATATGACGTCCTCCCAGAACGCGCTCTCCTGCGCGCCCCCAGGGGGAGCGCACCCGGCAATCTCCGTGATCGTTGTGTCCTACGGACACAGCTGATCACGTGATGTGGTAAAAGGCCAATAATAGCGGCCTTTTACCACGTGATCAGCCGTGTCCAATGACACGCTGATCACAGGGAAATGCAATTGCCGGTTCTCGGCTGCACTTTCCTCACGCTGTCAGATCGTGAGGAAAGAACCGGCAGTTATTAGAGCAGGGATCGGCACCGATCATCAGGGCACTGATGATCAGTGCCATGATGATCTGTGCCCAGCAGTGCCACCCACCAGTTTCTGCCCAGCAGCGCACCCACCTGTGCCCAGCAGTGCAACCACCTGTGTCCAGCAGTGCTCACCAGTGCCACCCAGCAGTGCTACACACCTGTGCCCAGCAGTGCAACCACCTGTGCCCAGCAGTGCAACCACCTGTGCCCAGCAGTGCCCACCAGTGCCTCCCAGAAGTGCCACAAACCTGTGCCCAGCAGTGCCATCCAGAAGTGCCACCTATCTGTGCCCAGCAGTGAAACCCACCTGTGCCCACCCACCTGTGTCCACCAGTGCCACCCACCTGTGCCACCAGTGCCACCCACCAGTGCCCATCAGTGCCGCCCAGCAGTGCTGCCAGTCAGCGCCACCAGTCAGTGCCCAGTGGTTGTGCCAGTCAGTGCCCAGCAGTTGTACCAGTCAATGCCTAACAGTGCCGCCAGTCAATACCTAGCAGTGCCGCCAGTCAGTGCCCAGAAGTGACACCAGTCAGTGCCACCTATCAGTGCTGTCTATCAGTACCCATCATCAGTGCCGCCTATCAATGCCACCTATCAGTGCTGCCTATCCGTGCCACCTCATTAGTGCTGCCTATCAGTGCCGCCTATCAGTGCCCTTCAGTGCTGCCTATCAGTGCCCATCAGTGCTGCCTATCAGTGCCCATCAGTGCTGCCTCATCAACGCACATCAGTGAAGGAGAACAATTACTTTTTTGCAAAATTTTATAATAGAACAAAGAAACTTTTTTTTTTTTCAAAATTTTTGCTATTTTTTTGTTTATAGCGTAAAAAGTAAAACACCCAGCGCCAAGTAAATACCACCAAAAGAAAGCTCTATTTGTGAGAAAAAAATGATAAAAATTTCATGTGGGTACAATCTTGCATAACCGCGCAATTGTCAAAGTGCGACAGTGCTGAAAGTGGAAAATTGGCCTGGTAAAGAAGGGGGTATAAGTGCCCGGTAGGCAAGTGGTTAACTGGAATCAACCTGATTTGTTGAATCAGGAATCAGGAATCCGTAGGGGCTTATCTTCACTTATTATTGATATTGGTGTTTGTAGGTAGTGAATGCAAAATAATAAGGATATACTGTGTGAAAAGTTGGCAGATAAATAGTACATTTACAAAGATATCAACACTAATGATTTGATTGCAAAAGATACACAGTCCCTCCAAACATTTGGAAGTAATGCATGATCATTGAACAATCCAATGCTGCACAGTTGGAGAAAAGCAGGATGTGAAACATTAGAACTAAATTGAATATTACAGTCTAAAGCAAACATATTTTCTCTTCAATACTGCTTATCTCAGATTGCTGCAATCTACATTTCTAAGCTAGCTAAAACCATTAATGCTATTAATAAAAATTGTATAATAAATTATTGGAGCTAAAAGAGATTATATTTTTGTTGGTTCAAGTTTAAAATTATTTTTGTTACTTGCAGTGATTGCATGGTGGCACCATTTTTCTTGAATGAATCCAAGCTGTAAAAAAGAAGCCTACTTCAAAACAAATGTTTATAACTTTAAAGTGAGTTAAGTTAATGCATTCACTTTATTGCAAATCCAATATACACTCCTTTAAGTGGTGTAGAAAGAAAAATAAGCTTCACAACTAACGGCTGAGCTGTATATATCAATAACTGGCATTTACAATACTTTTGGACCAAAAGACTGTGAAAGGTCAGTGAACTTAAATTTACTTACAATTTCCCTTTGAAAGGAACCATAGGTTATCTCTAGTACAGGGTAATGGTTATATTGAGATAACTACAATACTTTGTCAACAAGCTGATAGAAATATTGTGCAGTCTGTCCAGTTCAAGAAGAATCTGATATCAATCTATCATTAATATGGTAGTTAGAGAATGACAGGTGATCAGACTTGGAATTTCACATGCATAGATAGCCGGCTGAAATAATGGATATAGTTGTAAAGCCTCTTATTATTTATTTTTTTTTGAATCAATTGCCGTTTAACATTTTGCTGACTGAATAAAGCAGAATACTACAGGAAAATAAACCCCTAAAATAAACATTTAGACTTCATTCTTGTTTGTTACAACTGTCTATAATATAGTAAGATAATATCTTGAACTTTGCATAACATCATGGATTTTTGTACTGCCTTTTTTTAAAAGCGTAATTGTTCATTACTTTTCTTTTAACCATCAATACTAGTTAATATGTTAAAATTAATAAATTACACATTTTATGGATATTGATAATATTATTACTAAAATAGTATTAGTCATTTATTTATTAGAAAAATCAAGATAGTGCTAATTAACCATTTAACATTTAGTGATATCCTCCCCTAGATAGACTACACTATATTATACGGAATATATGTATGATTAACATGTTAATACAAGATGACGTATACAACTGAAGCTGTGAACTTGTTTAAATTATAGAATGTGACCTGTGTTCAAAATTAAATATACACATTGTAACGGAACCTGGACCCCAGACCGCACTTGGGTATTTTCCGTTATACTCCGGCTTCTCTGTCCGAACACAAATCCCCGGACACCACCTGCAGGAAATAAGACAGCACCCGACTCTTCTTAAAACAGGAAGTCAACTCCTTTATTCTTACACGCACACAAGATATATACACAGAGCGGGGAAACACAACCAGGGAGGGAAACACATCATCAGTCCGCCCATCAGTGGGAAGGGCTACAGGAAACACATCATCAGCCCACCCCATCAGTGGGAAGGGCTACAGGAAAACACCCCCCCAACCAAGACACAGAACAATGGGATGCAGCACATGGCAGAGGACAATGGACAGCCACATGGTAGAGAACAAAGGACAACACACCAATACACAATATACATTCCCATTCACACTCTGTACGCCTTAACAGGCACAGGGGTGTGTTAAACATAAGAATTTGGGAAGATGATACAGGGGTCCTTCACCCCCAAAAGTCACTCCCGTCACACACATCTAGAAATGAGTGACCCCCCCTCTCTTGCTCTGATCTTTGCATTACATCTTGTTTCTGTTACCATGGTCCCACCTCCAACTTTTATAATCAGACAGCAATGGAAAAATCTGTAAATATGAACATTTTTCACTGATCTGAATTAGAGTGGCTGGGGTATTAGCTTACATAGAGCTATGGACTCCCCGCATGACAGTGTTGATTGGCTCAGTGCTGTCTGTCTTATAGGTTCCTAAAATTGCAAAGCACCAAATATTTCCTTTGACCACTGTAGCTGAACAGAACTCCAGGACATATAAGGAAAGGAACATGTACTGTATACTAAGGAGTGGTAGGGAATTAAAGCAAACCTGCTGCTTTGAATCAAGCTCAGTGTCCCAGGAATAGGAACTGAGTTAGTGAGCAGAGATTATTTGTCCTTCATCTGCATTACAGGAAATAAATCAGGGGTCTGAAAAAAAACTAATGCATATTCCAGAATTCTAGGCCTCCATAAACTGGACTTTATCATGTCCACTTTAAGTGGACTACATTCTGTCTTATATAGCAATCCTCCCATGGCAGTAAAATAAATAAATAAAAAAAGTCAAACAAAAGTAAAGTAAGACTACAGTAAAAACACAATAAATAATATTCACACAGAAATAGAACACCCAGTGCATAAAACCTGTACTAAATTGTTCACCTTAAATGTATAAGAGCATACTAGATTTGCATCAGTCATTTTAGAAACATAATTGTAGCATTATGCTAAAAAGCAATGTTGTGAACATTTTTTAGTAGTTGACCATTTACAGTTTTGTGGGTACTTGCTATTTCACTTTAATCTATTCTAAAGTAATTATAGTATAAATAAATATAATTAGAATATAAATATTATAATCTTTAATCTAAATAGTGAATTGTATTAGCATACAAAAGAAATGCCCGTAGCGGGAAAAGAAGAAAAGAATTAGCGCAGGGCAGGCATGACTAGGCCCAGAGTGGGAAGGAAGACTTGTAAGGGTTAATGATAGTATTAGGGGGTTAGTAAAGGATAGCTGTGGGATCTGGTTGGTAGAGGGAGAGTGTAGGTGGGGTCTTCTGCACCTTAGGGTGGGGTGTCCTGGTGAGGGGCGCAGTCAGTCAGAGCTGGACGTAGGAGAGAGAGCTTCCCTCCCACCCTCCCTGTTTGGTGAGTATTGTGTTCCTCCCGGGGGGGGGTTATTTCGGTTCCTGGGCGGTGGTTGGTCTTTGGAGGTGGTTCTTATCTTGGAGGTACAAAAAATGGTGTGTGGGACCCATCATTGGTATGGTGTGCCCGGGAACATTCCAGTTAACCAAGTTTTAACTGGAAGGTGGTGGTACTGCACTGCGGACGGTATGGTTGTCTCCGAGCTGGTTGGTTGCGGCTGGAGGCTTAGTGTAATATGGTTGTCCGCAGGTGCATTTCGGATCGTTTTGGGGGTGCCTTCAAAGACCAACAACAACTCTTTATGTTTCTGTTATAAGGAATGTTGATGTGTGTTTAAACTTGATTTGTTAATAAAAGGCCATGTTGGCCATTTTACTCCAAAATTGGTGTTATGTTTTCTGTAAGTATAGTAAGTAAAGGGGATTGGTATGGAAGGGTAATAGTGGTGTAGTGGGGTCTGGATGAACCTATCTCTGGTACACTAGTCATGGAAAGTTTGTTTCAATCTTTTGAAGTGTAAAATGGGAGGCAACTACAGCAGGAAAGGGGGTAAGCGACAAATGACACCCTTAAATGTAGTGTATTAAGCTTCTACATTCTGTAAAGATCTATTGACATGTAAAGTGTATGTCCAACCAAAACTTTTTTTTTTTGTTACATTACATTTTGAATATGGTATGGATTGTTTAGAAGGTTCAGTGTGTGTGTGTGTCTGTGTGTGTGTTTTTATTTGTGTTCGTTGGTCAGATTGCTTCTCAATTTTTGCCCCAACAGGAAGTAAGTGGAAAACTCTAGATAGTGAGGGGAAGTTCCCTCTTAGACAGTTGTCAAGAAGACAGAACAATTCCTCTTCTCTTCCTGTCAAGATGACAACTGTAAAATATATTGGATGTTCTATCACAGTCAGTCAAGGTCTGAAAATGTGACCAAGACATTTGTAGAGGCTGAGTTTCCCATCTAGAACAACAATGAAAAACCTGAAAGACAGTTTAAAACATTTTAACTTTTTCAAAAACAACATAAATGCTGGATATAGATACACTTCCAACTGTATGTATGAGAAAACATTCTACCTTTCATACCAAAATGACAGACCTGATGGGGTTGATTTACTAAAACTGGAGAGTGCAAAATCTGGTGCAGCTCTGCATAGAAATTGATGAGCTTCCAGATTTTATTGTCAAAGCTTAACTGAACAAGATAAAGTTAGAAGTTGATTGGCTACCATGCACAGCTACACTAGATTTTGCACTCTCTGGTTTTAGTAAAATCAACCTCA